ACAAAGGCAGCAGCACGTTTCAACATTAGTCGGTTTATAGGGAACTTGTGCAATCGTTAACTTTGCAAACCTGAGTGTAATAAAGTGTGTATAATCAGCATACAGTCCAGTCAAAAGATTTAATACCATTTTAAATCAAAGCAGACTCTGATCATCACACTACCACCACCATGTTTGGCTGTATGGTGTGAAGTTCTTCTTCTAAAAGGCTGATTTTAGAATACAGCAGATGCTATTATGTTCTTCTCTTCTGCTCCGCTGAATATTTTCCAGAAAGTTTTGGCTGCCATTTTTCCCTCATTGTGTTTCTTCAGGCGTGTAAATTCTCTGCGATAAAGAAAGGTGTTTTCACACTTCAGGGGCTGCAAAAATCATTAAGAAATGGAGCGAGAGTTAAAGGTGCAGACGCTGTTGTTATTAGAGTCAGTCCTTGAAAAGAGAGAGAGAAGGCTGGACTAGGAGAAATAATAAATAAATAAATCAAGCGTCAGTTGTAGTAGCGTTGTTCCCCACAGATTTCCAACACTGTTAGAAAGCCGCTATTAGATGTCTTCTGGATCAGAATAGAGCTAAAAATCCACATCTGATGAGTCTCTGCCCCACTGACAGCTACAGTTAAGCCCAGAAACAGACATTTGCTTTAAGGAACCATAGCAGCCAAGAGGAGCGACACATATTATTAGCTTGAAACTTGCTATAACTGAGCAGGTTTAAGAAGGGGTTAAATACTTTACACATATGACCAGGTTGGTGCTTTTTGTATTGACAACCTTTGACGATCTGAAACATTTGAGCTACACACTAATCCTGAAGAGACAAAATAGTCATTTACTAAATTCAGAGAACATCTCAATGTTACACACAAATCTGAGCTTTGAAGGTTAGTAGTGAAGAATGGGCAGAGGATCATCCCCTCAGGCATGAATGCGTCTGAGAACGAGGCTTTCCGTTAGCTGAGCGATAGCAAATTAGAGTTCACAAACAGAGTTCACAGTTTTCAAGCCCAAAGCTAACTCAGCAGTGGGCTCTGACTGCAGCTCCGGGGGGGATTAACCAGAGCGGCGGCGCAGAGAGGAGCACTGCACCGAGCAAGCCACACTGACCCATCTGATACTGAAGACGATAATCATCACTCAGGGTTTAAACATCCTTTTCCAGGTGTAAATGTCCTAATTTCTGAGACAATTCCTTTTTATAACATTTAAGAACAAATATTCTAAGCAGAATTCACTCAATTCAGCCTCAAAATTCAATATGGCTGCCATGTGAATTCACGGTTTTGATAGGCGAACGAATAAACTCTCTGCAGGGATATAACCTCTGTTATTACAGCAAATATTTGTTACTGAACTGTATTGATTATTGTAGTTAGGGAGGCGAAAACTAAACAGCAATTCATAAATCCGGCTGTTTTGTCCGCAGATGAAGCCTGATCGAGTAAAGGCGAATTTATGCTTCTGACGCATAGCCTCTGCAACCATCAAATCTGTACCTCAAGCGGAAGTGCGCAGACAAAAAGCAGCTGTGATTGGTCCTAGGTGTGCCTTTCCAACTGTCTGTGTGGTCGTCCTTCTCGAATCTTTGCCGGGGCGCGCCATTTTTAAAAACCAAGGAACAACTACAATCGACAACTACGAATAAAGGTTAACCGGTCTTTTTGCCAACTCCATTAAAGGAGAATTCCGGTTTTTAACACTTTTAGCCCATTTTCTGTAGTGTCCAGGATGAAATCGAATGATCGAAATCAAAATTTTGACAATTGGTCCTGTCTCTGCTTTTTGGCTCATGCAGAATCCCCCCCTGGCTGCTTCAGAATGGCTTCCATAGTGCATGTCCGATAATGTCCTTAAAACAACCTTAAACGTTCTTTTTTTAAAATATGCTACTCACCGGGTCGTCAGCGCTGTTCAATGACGTTCCAAAAAAAGTTTCGTAAAGAAAAAACGTTCCTGTAGTGTTTTATTTAGCATTTTGTAAATCCCATTGAGTTTTGTTGGAATAGTCAATATCCCTCCGCCACCGGAAACGGAAATGGGGCCTGTTTACACTTAGTTGTAGTCTTTTCGCAAGGCCCAAGTGTTTCTGCTCCACTCTGTGTACTCCGACGTCGAGGTGCTAACGTCTCTGTTAAACACTTTAAAAAACTCTGAAAATGGAATACGAAAGGTGGATTCTTGAGGAGGACATTTTGGACTTTGAGTTTGACGGTAGAGGATACCGTCGCTAACTAGTGGTCTGGAGTGTGCAACGCTTCAGATTCGAACGGGAAGCGGAAGCTTATAAGCGGTTGTGATGTATCGGAAAAAATAGTTCTGGGATTTACAAAATGCTAAATAAAACAAGACAGGAACGGTTTTTCCTCACGAAACTTTTTTTGAAACGTCATTGAACAGCGCTGACGACCCGGTGAGTAGCATATTTTTAAAAAAGAACGTTTAAGGTTGTTTTAAGGACATTATCGGACATGCACTATGGAAGCCATTCTGAAGCAGCCAGGGGTGGATTCTAAATGAGCCAAAAAGCAGAGACAGGACCAATTTGTCAAAATTTTGGTGTCGATCATTGGATTTCATCCTGGACACTACAGAAAATGGGCTAAAAGTGTTAAAAACCGGAATTCTTCTTTAACAGATCCTGTTCCTCTTCGATGTCTAGCAACTCTAGATCCATCTCCGTGACCGTGATATCTTGTAAATGCGCCATTGTTGTTTTGGAAGATAAACACTCCTGGCGACGCCGCCAAAGTTCTCGTGACCATCTGCCGAACTTCTCACGACTTCTCGAATAGGCTCCCCCTTGCGCTTTGGCGGGAAACTGCTGTGCATCCCTAAAAATTCCAGAAAGATGGTGCAGAAGCATACCAGCAAAACTGGTTCACAACCAGACCCAAGCGACATTTGATGAGTGCAGATGCAGAACTATAATCTGGCCTTAAGGTGTGATTTCATCTGTGCCGTCAGCGACACAGCTACACTATATTGCCAAAAGTATTTGCTCACCCATCCAAATTATTGGAATCAGGTGTTCCAATCACTTCCATGGCCACAGGTGTATAAATTCAAGCACCTAGGCATGCAGACTGTTTTTACAAACATTTGTGAAAGAATGGGTCGCTCTCAGGAGCTCAGTGAATTCCAGCGTGGAACTGTGATAGGATGCCACCTGTGCAACAAATCCAGTCGTGAAATTTCCTCGCTCCTAAATATTCCACAGTCAACTGTCAGCTGTATTATAAGAAAATGGAAGTGTTTGGGAACGACAGCAACTCAGCCACGAAGTGGTAGGCCACGTAAACTGACGGAGCGGGGTCAGCGGATGCTGACGCGCATAGTGCGAAGAGGTCGCCAACTTTCTGCAGAGTCAATCACTACAGACCTCCAAACTTCATGTGGCCTTCAGATTAGCTCAAGAACAGTGCGCAGAGAGCTTCATGGAATGGGTTTCCATGGTCGAGCAGCTGCATCCAAGCCATACATCACCAAGTGCAATGCAAAGCGTCGGATGCGGTGGTGTAAAGCACGCCGCCACTGGACTCTAGAGCAGTGGAGACGCGTTCTCTGGAGTGACGAATCGCGCTTCTCCATCTGGCAATCTGATGGACGGGTCTGGGTTTGGCGGTTGCCAGGAGAACGGTACTTGTCTGACTGCATTGTGCCAAGTGTAAAGTTTGTTGGAGGGGGGATTATGGTGTGGGGTTGTTTTTCAGGAGCTGGGCTTGGCCCCTTAGTTCCAGTGAAAGGAACTCTGAATGCTTCAGCATCCCAAGACATTTTGGACAATTCCATGCTCCCAACTTTGTGGGAACAGTTTGGAGCTGGCCCCTTCCTCTTCCAACATGACTGTGCACCAGTGCACAAAGCAAGGTCCATAAAGACATGGATGACAGAGTCTGGTCTGGATGAACTTGACTGGCCTGCACAGAGTCCTGACCTCAACCCGATAGAACACCTTTGGGATGAATTAGAGCGGAGACTGAGAGCCAGGCCTTCTCGTCCAACATCAGTGTGCAACCTCACAAATGCGCTTCTGGAAGAATGGTCAAAAATTCCCATAAACACACTCCTAAACCTTGTGGACAGCCTTCCCAGAAGAGTTGAAGCTGTTCTAGCTGCAAAGGGTGGACCGACGTCATATTGAACCCTATGGATTAGGAACGGGATGTCACTTAAGCTCATATGTGAGTCAAGGCAGGTGAGCAAATACTTTTGGCAATATAGTGTAGTTAGAAATGTCCAACTTTTGCTCAAACAAAACTGTGTTCAAGAGGTAAAACAAGATGACATAAGGAAGAGAGGGGGGTGGGAAGCAGTAAAGGGAAGATAGTGATGGTAAGAAATAAAGGAAGGCCACAAGGAGGGGAGGCAGGACACCACATTAAAAACTACAGAGGAACACCTAGAAAAGGGTGGGTTTAAAACATGGAAGGAAACAAGAAAGGAAGCAAGGAAACGAAGGACATATAGGGAAGAAGACAACCACATAGGGAGGAAGCTAGGAGGCAAGGAGGGTAGGATAAATGCACAGAAGAGGAAAAATCCCAAAGAAAGAATAAACATTTAAAAAATAGGGCCTATAAATATATATATGATTCCTTTTTAAGATAGTTGGAAAATACGTACTAAAATCTGCTTTAAGACTATAAGAACAACTTATCTGTAAACTGAACCCTTAGCAGCCCAGCTTTTCCCTGCAAACAGAGAACAGTGAACCTCAACGTTTGCTTTTCCCTGCAGGGACCCATAGTTTGGATGCGCGGTGATATTTATGTAATAATGCGCCTAGTGTGTAAAAACAACTAAAACCCAAATATAGCAGGAATAAACACAGAGGATAAGAAATGTATATATGTGTTATTTGAAGATTATTTCTGCTGAGGCGTTAAGAGAATAAAGTGTAACAGCAAAACTAGCTAACTGAAGGAGAGCGGCCGTTACTAGCTTAAACAGCCCGATAATCAGCCGTTAGAGGGAAGACAAACGGATCCAACAGAGTCATATTACCTCTCGCTGACCAGAACCACGTCCGCATTGGTCCAGTGTTTGAATACAGTTGGCAGAATCTTCTTGAAGGCGAAGAAAAGACCGGGGAAAACTACAGCCCCGCATGCTAAAACTTGCCACATCCTGCCGGTGTTATCCTCCCAACCTGTCCCGGAGACCTGGCCTTCTCTGCCCCGCTCTTCTGACCGTGATTCCCGCTCGGTTACACCTTGCAGTGAGGCATTTTCACGGGGCAGAGCTTCGGTGGGGTTTGTTTGGGGGGGTTTTTTCACCGGGAACGGTCCAACATCTCCGCACAGTCAGAGTGAAGAGAAGCGCAGCAGCAGCAGCACCAGTGTCGATGCTGAGCCCCTTATCTAACGCTTACACCCAGCTTCCTGTGGGGAGACTACCACAATAAAAGCCTGCATGGAAGCTTTTATTGCGAAAGGAAGCTTCCTATACACGTACAATTTACAGCTTGACACTTATGTATTCTGAAACTTATTACCAATCCTGATTCCTGCCATAATTAAAAATACAGCAATAAATAAATGCTCCAAAAACGAATTAGCATTCAATAATTGCCCCTCAAAAATACAATAAATAAATAAATGTAGGTAGAAATAAAATGATATAGTGAAACATAAATGTACATCTCTCTTTTAATCATCTTATTTCTTTTCCACCTTTGTAATAATTACATTATTTATTTATTTACCGTTATAATCTTCAACTTTATTTATTACTTATTTTTTTAAGTATTCATGTATGTGCATGTTATAATATTTTTTGATTGTATTATTCTTCCTTTGTATTTTTTACCCTATTTATTTCTTCCATGCTGTTTATTTCTGCCGTATTTACATTTCTGTCTGCATTTCTGCCTCATTATTATTTTAATACCATCAACAAGTACCCATGACTCTCATATACATATATACACATATATATATATATATATATATACACATATATATATATATATAAACACACATATATATATATATATATATATACACATATATATATATATATATATATATATATATACACACATACACACATACATATATATATATATATATATATATATATATATATATATATATATATATATATATATATATATATATATATATATATATATTTCCAGCCACTTTTGTTGAAAATTTCATTTTCTATAGCTTTTTCTCCGCCTCAAGCTTCTTTTCCGAACATACGGCTTTACGATCAAAAGGAAGTAACCTTACACAAATATATCACAAAATAAATTGTCTGACAAAAGTATTTTTATCAATTTTTTTTTAGAAAGTATTTTAAAAGCCAAGATAATGACATTTAATGACTTTTATTACCAATTATGGCGGTAATTTAAAAAAATATTAATCTATAATGACCAGCGAAAACCCTGTTTTAATTAGCATCTTTATTTATTCGCCTTTGTAATAATTACCTTATTTATTTGTTGTCCATTATAATCTTCAACTTTATTAATTACTTATTTTTTCAAGTATTTATTTATGTGCATGTTATAATATTTTTTTGTCTGTTTTATTCTTCCTTTGTATTTTTTTTAAACCTGTTTATTTCTTCTCTGTGGGTGAACTTCTGCCCATTGGTTGGGGTCCCATCTTCTTAACTCAAAGTTCAGAGTATTAAGTTAAAATTTCTCTTTTCTGTTGCTGTTGTTCAATAAAAGTACATTTTAAGATCATTTGAGGCAAGAATATTATATATTTAAGCATCACTATATGGCCCATCTACTGATTTAATGCAATTTATGTATTGAGCATTTATTTATATAATTTAATTTCTACCTACATTTATTTGTTTATTGTATTTTGGGGGGCAATTAATTGTATGCTTATTTATTTATTGAGCCTTAATTTATTTCTGGATTTATTTTTAAAAATAGTAGAGCTGGTCCTCCATAGAAACAACCAACAAAAGGTTAGGAAATATTTTATTACAAGATGGGTTTTTTTCACCAGCTTGTCTATTTCATCGGTCCAGCATTTTTGAAAAAATAAATTGGTAATGGACTTGGTTGCTCCTTAAAAAATACTCTATATTTTTATTTTTTTTAAATTTAGTTATTTTATTTATTTATTTATTTTTTTAATTTTTTTTTTATTTTTATTTTTTAATTGAAATTTTTTATTTATTTATTTTTTTTTTACTAAAAAAAAAATACTCTATAAACAATAAATTAAGAGAAATTCCTTATAAACTTATTCATAATGTATATTCTGTTAATTTTTGATAAAAAAGATATAAATGGGATTTGGACCCGATGTGTACTTTTTGTAAAAAGAATCTAGAATTTTTTTGGGGATTAAAATTATACCAAAATATTCTGGAGAGACATGTCAATTTTTTTTTTTTCATCGAAGAAATCTCAATGTTGCTTAAAATGATAAGGATGTTTTGTTTGGGATGGAGAAATGTGAACTTTTCAAAACAGAATTTGTATACGTTTTTAACTTTTTTATTATATATGGTAAATATATTCACACCTCCAAATATTTTCAACAAAAAACACATTTCCAGATTTTATTATCTTCTGTTAATATCTATATAGAATCCTTAAAATTAATCTCAAATGCTAAAACCATTCAAATCATAACTGCCCTTAGAGATTTGCAATCCTTGAGCACAGATTTCATTTTGACATTGTAAAATAATTGCTCTATATTTTGTAAAGCTCTTTGATGTTGTATCTGTGTGTAATTATTAATGTTCTATGTTATTCTTGCATGTTCTTTGTTTGCAATAATAATAAAAAAAGAATAGAGAGAAAGTTGTGGAAAACAAAAAACAAAACATTTGAAAACAAAAATGTGTCTTTTTTAGCTACAGGTCAGGTGTAATAAACAATTATATGTCTAACATTTGATTTTGTTGTTCGATTATGGTTTTATTGATAAGTGGATGCATTGTTTAGTTATTCGTTCCATAAATCATATGATTTTGCAGTGACAGATTCTTACATTTTGAAAAGTAACTTTTTTTCTCTACTGGCTACAGAAAAGCTTCAGAATCAGCGGGAAGATGAGAGGAGCTTCATAGAAGACAACCCTGGAATATAACCTGTTTATTAAAATATTAATGCGGGTATTCCCCAATTCCCCAAGGCTCTATTCCTGGCCCTTTTCTTCAGCCTTTTAATTAATGACTTCCCTTTGACTGCTCAGCTGTAATCTGTCTACTTTAAGAAGACAATGGTGGTGCTCAGTTACCAGAGCAGACTGCTGCTGCCCTTTATTCTCTATTTAAGGAAGCATCATGTGGATCATGTGATAAAGATCTGGTATTATTGTGCTTGAAAACAACAAAGTTTTTGTCTTCTCACTGAAGGTAGATTGCTGTTCCTTTATTTTGGCAATATATTCATGGTTTGATCAAATTTAAATAATCATTTAAAGCACATTTTGGTTAAATCAGCTGTTTGTATAAATGTTTGTAGATGTTCTTGGTCATATTTACTAAGAATACCAAGAAAGCAATAAAAAAAAGAAATATCACAATCATAGATTTTGTGTCTAGTATCTTCTTCAAAGGCTTAATTTTATCAGCACCTCATCAAGAAAAAAAGAAGAAGTCAATCTTTAAATTTCACCTCTGCCAAATATATTATTTTATGCAATTCTTAGATTGTGGTTAGGGTATACAAATCTTTCCAGGGCTGCAGATGTAACAAAATACTTTTTAACAGACAAATGAAAAAATGCTGCTAGAGATGTACCCCACAACACTTTCAGCTATAACCACTGAAAAAGTGGTTTAACAGAGTATTATTTCAACCTATTTGATCTTAAAATATCAATGTAGTGCATACTTTCCAGATTTTTCTTTATAAAGGCAACCATATGTGCTTTGGAATCACTTTGCATTTGGTCTATCACATCGAAATCCTACAATAATAAAGGATATTCATTATTCATTATGAAACCATATCAAAATTTTGCAGAGACCCCCAGTTTAGAAGGCTGACATAATGAAAGAATGAATTAATAACTTATTTAAGACATTCAAATAAAAATATACAAATAGCTAAATACTAAATCATTTTTAAGATGATATGCACTGACAGACAAGATCCAAGCTGCATGTCCCTTGGACCAATTTAATATTTAATCTTTACAATTAACTAAATCAGTTAGAAATTAAATAATATAAATAATGTAAGATTTTTTTTCCCTTTGTGATTTTTCTTCTTCAGTGCCGACATGAAAAAAACATATACCCTGTAGTGGGGAAAAAAGTATTCAACTATTCACCCCGGTTAAATAAACGGAGATTGATGGATTTCCCTCAGTCTGCACTTTATTTTATCTTTGCAAGCAGAGAACAGTTCATCATACGGCCCTTATTGCACAGTAATCAGCCCTGTTCTGACCTGGGAGCGTTCGATTTCCCCTTACTTTCAATAATGGAAAGTAGTCAGAGTCAAAACAAATTACAGAAACTTTGGTTAAACAGCAACATGTTATGAATAAACCTTGAGAAAGAATGTGGCTTGTTTTAGGAATAAACGCCACTCACTCAGGCATTGTGTGGCCTTGCAGGTGAAATTGACTTGAGTGACAAACTTTGAGTAAATAGCATAAACCAATATATGAAAGTAGAGAAATCAAAATTTTCCGACCACAACCCGCAGGTGTATATGTGTGCATCTGAGGAAATGTGTAAATAATTCAAAACTTGCCATTTTAATGTGACGAAATATAGAATAGAATAAAAAAATCCCTTTATTGTCCCACGTTTGGATATGAAATATTTCAAGGGGTTTACATTTTTCTATGAGGTTCTATGTTTTTATTTGAAATGATAAAACAAAATGACAATACATCATTTAAAAAATTTTAGGAGGCAGGAAGATAAATAGCAACACAGCTGGTAAAAATTTTGATTACGTAACAAAAAGTTGTAGTTCCAAATTTGACCACAAGGAGGCAGTGCATGCTGTGTATGATCATTCTGAAAATCTATGCTTTGAACATCTCAGCAGGAATCAGATGGTTGGCTGGTTGCCACAATGGATGGGGTAGTAATGACTTAAAGAAAAAAAAAGGTAAAAAGTTAACATATAGTTATTATTTCAAATAAAACAGGGAGATTCTCTCACGTCATAATAATCTTTATTTCACTTAAACAGAAAAACTTAAGTGTCCCTAAAATACAATGAAAATCTTAAACAGGTTAAAAAGATTGAGAGTGATACTGTTAAAATGAACCCATTAGCCTCATGTGATTCTATCAGTTGAAGAGTGAAGGCTTCCTTTAAAGTCAGAGATTAAACAGAATTAAACAGCTTGTTTGGCCGTTTCAAAAGGCAGATAGTGCCTTGTAAAATCTTACTGATTTTAAATTTTTGTTTGTTTTTTTACTTTA